TTGGCCACGTACTCCACGATTGAGATGAGTTCTGCAAAGGAATATTCAACAAGGCGGGATTTGGAGAAGCTGCATAATACGAGGCATGCATGTGGAAGGCTGACAATTTCGAAGATCAGCCATAACATGGTGTCAACGGCACTGCTTTTGTATTGGCCGCGTGTCATTGGTTCCAAGTTGTGCTGACCACTCTGCACATTTTTGAAGAATGCTCTCACATGCGGGGTCTGTAGATGTGCTTTCTGGGTATATGTGAGTGATTCCAGCCAAATGGCTAGTGATCCTTGCTTTATTATCGCGCGGGAGGTATCTTGGAGTGATTGCTGAATGGTTCTTTCTTTCCCGGTGGTATTGCCACTTGACTGAACCGCAGCGTTTTGAGCATCAAGCTTGGAGCGTGCTCCCTGCACGGAACCCAAAGCGAATCTCAGTTGATTTTCGAGCTTGACCAGGTCGTCATATGACAGTCCATCATACCCCGACGCCCACAGGTCTATGATATTGAAGTTCATGTCAATTAACCGAAGCAGTGGGCCTGGTATATGAGGCCTAGAATTGGAACAGCGAGTTGAAAGGGTCCAACGGGTTGAAGGGGTCCAGCGAGTTGAAAGGGTCCAACGGGTTGAAGAGGGTCCAACGAGTTGAAGAGGGTCAACGGGTTGAAGAGGGTCCAACGAGTTGAAGAGGGTCCAACGAGTTGAAGGGGTCCAACAAGTTGAGGGGGGCCAACGAGTTGAAGGGGTCCAACGAGTTGAAGGGGTCCAACAAGTTGAAGGGGTCCAACAAGTTGAGGGGGCCAACGAGTTGAAGGGGTCCAACGAGTTGAAGAGGGTCCAACGAGTTGAAGGGGTCCAACAAGTTGAAGGGGTCCAACAAGTTGAGGGGGGCCAACGAGTTGAAGAGGGTCAACGGGTTGAAGAGGGTCCAACGAGTTGAGGGGGGCCAACGAGTTGAAGGGGTCCAACGAGTTGAAGGGGGCCAACGAGTTGAGGGGGGCCAACGGGTGGATATAATTAATGACATGCTATTGGTCAATGCTAGCCACCTTATACGAAAGGATACGTTACTACTTCCTGTAGGATTATTTTTGTATTCTGAAGCGCGCTGGTTTGATTGGCAACAGTCGACAAGGGCTCGCTACGGCCAATGCAAAGGCTCGTACGGTATGGTATTCGATCATCCCGTTCACTATACTCTAGAAAGGTCATGAGGACGAAGAGCCAATCTATCGTTGCTTTGTTCGAGTTTCCCCGCAAATGTACATACGTAAACAAATCAATAGAAGAAATGAAGCAGAACAGAATAAGGACGAGGCATAAAAACTCCCGCTCTATCTTTGCCATCTTTCTGCCATCTTACATTAAGATCATACTCCCACTTGTGTCTAATATGCACTGCCCCATCAGTTCATCAGGATCTGCGTCGTCCTCAACGAATCCGCGTGAAGGCTGCGAATTAGTAATCCTTTCCTATCTTGAACAGTCACGTGACTAGAAGTCGGATGTCCGCCGCGGATGAATATCGAATATGGCTGGGTTAGGCCGATAAATGTATTCAAACCAGCCCTAGTTTCGGGACCATTTTTCACAACTTCGAGAGTAATTCTCCCCATAGCCTCATACCTGAGTCCGTTTTGACAGAACTCCCGTTGCGGATATATGCTGGAGGGTACAACCTGATTATGTAGAATTGACCAGTTTGATGTACCGTAGTGGCTCTTCGAGGATTTGGGTACCAACTTGATTCTGGTGACAACTGCAACCAACTAAGAGATGCGACTATGGTGGACTTTGCTGTGCTTGAGGAAGCTATTTTGAGAGTGATTCAGAAATATGGAATGAAGGGCCAATGGAGGTGGTTCAACTGAAAAGCATAATGAGCTGAAGAAAGGCAGCAAAAATGTACTTGAAATCATTTTAATGGTTAATTGGTGCGCGTGACAAGATAGCGCACATTTTTGCGGTCAAAACACGGAGGGGCATTCACTCATCACAGAAAATATGTATGTATGAAGCGGAACCTCGAGGGAAGAGCTGGGAAATGAAAGACCGATGTGGATTTTTGTTGGGCTCTCATATACAGTCTCTCTAGGCAAGACCTGCTTACTATTTTAGATATTTCAGTTGGTATGACTTCATTTCGATATGTATATCTGTCAAACTCGGCTGGCCTTGAAGGCTTATGAACCTCCAATGAGCAATTTGTTGACTGCTGACATACTCCCCGGTCTTGACCAGTTACAAACGTCGCCGCTTCCTCCGTTTAAACTTCCTTGCATTCCTGTTTACCCAAAGACAAAAGACAACAGTAGATACAGGGCCTGTCGCATCTTTTGTAGCATGGCTATGGGCCAAACATGTTGGACTGCCTAGCACCTTAAACATTGATGAGTGTTGGAATATCGATAAAAAGCAATTTTATTGTTTTTGTACTCACAATTGCTTTGCACCTTAGGCTAAAGCTGGGAGCCAAAGCAAAGGAGCTTTGTTCTCATCATCGTTGAAAGCATCAAGATATTCGTCACGGGTGTTGGGCTTGGGAGGATTTGGAGGTGCGCCAGGACAGTTGTGGGTTCCACCAGCAGTCTTAATCCACGCCTGGCAGACAGAGCATCGTTGAGCCATGCTGATTCGAGGTGAAATAATGTTTTGATTGAGATATTGGCCGGTTCTTAGCAATGCAGATGATGAAAAGAGGTATGTACTAAATGGTGTGCCTACTTGCTCCTTTATATATGTAGTTCCTGGTTCGTTTGCCTTAGGCTGGCTTCCACATGCTGATCAATCTAAGACAAGACACCTCTAAAAGGAGCGCCAAACACCTTCGCGTTTGGGCCTCATGGCCCAGGGACTTGACCTAACTGAAACTTACACCGCCGACTCTTGGCAACTCTACGAGCAGACATATTTGCTCACAGACCGTTGCCGACACCCATCATTGGAAGGTATAAATTACCCTCCCGACTGTCACCTGGAAACACGACTTACCACTCATTCTGCCTCCATCATGAATCCCTACACGACTGACCCAAATGAAATCCCCCCTTCTGATCTATATGCGGACCTGCCGCTTTACGGTCGGTACCGTCCTAAACCAGATGACTTTCATATCGATATCCGACATGTCAACTCTCATTCCATAGACTCATTGAAATACTGGGCTTCAGTGGTTGACCTTTGCAGCGAATCCGTCAGAATATATCCGGCTGATGAGGGCGGTCGAGACGTCTTCGCCGTTGGCAGCGTCATCATCAAGTCGGGCCATCTCCATCCGCAGGGGTTCACCCAGTCCACGGATATCCGCTACTCGTATGCCGATGACAATGAAGTCCAGGCTGTGGCTCTCGCAAGGAAAGCTTTGAAAAATGTTAAAGTGCCCGAGATATACTTTGCTGGCAAGGTATGCTCCCGCTACTTAACTACGTCTCTGCCTTACTTACACCTTTTCAGGTTTATGGTCGCCAAGTGTTGGTCCAGGAACGGCTCCCAGGCGTTGCATTAGCGGTAGCATGGCCCTACCTCTCCCAACGCCAAATGGATTCCTTCAAACAGCAAGCACAGGAGATACTTCGACAAATGCATTCTATCAAGCCTCCCGATGAATTTCAGGTTCGTTCCCATGTCGTGCCTGATCCCAACGTCCGCTCCAATGGTCGTATACAACCATTAGAAGGCAATATCCTCTTCTCAGAGACCAATACCGATTCAGACATGAGCTTCATGCATAACGACTTTACAGATTCCAACTGTATAGTTGACGATGACAAGATCGTTGGGCTCATTGATTGGGAAATGGCTGGCTACTTTGGCTGGAAGACGGCAGGGAAAGTCCATCGTATGGTAAGGCCACATGATAATTCTTTCTGGGAGGATCTGTATGAGCAAGGTATGCCTTAATTTCGACGGGCAGCTCAGGTTCTAGGCTACGGTGATATTGAAGAAAGGGTACTTTGTCGACAGGCTTTTTCTGGCTCGAATTGTGCACATCCAGCAAGATAGCAAAGAAATACTTGGCCAAGAAGTATGCAAGATAAGCCAGTACTACAACAGAAACGGGCTTGCGGTGGGAAATCCCCCATGTAAAACGAATCGATATATCTGACCGTTCCCTTTGATTCAATTGTTCACCTTTCAAGTTCCAAATCATTCGCTTCCACTTGTCGGCGCAGTCCTAAGAACAAATGGGTCCAATACCTCCAAACCTCTTCGACAAAAGTAAAAATTTCAATTCTCCCGGTAAAAATCATCGCACGACATGGTGTCTATCTCAACAATTTCCTCGGTAAACAGCCTCTCAGCTGTCGTATTGGTCAGGGTGGTTCCCAACAATCGTTGGCTCTGAACGGTCCCTCAATAAGTTGTACAAAACTTTGGCAATACCAGTGGGTGCGTAATGGCCGGCATTACTTCAGTAGTGTTGTGCGCCCTTTTCCTTCCCTTGTGGAATTTGAAGTACGTTTAGTACAGTTGAAGATATCTAGATCTGCTCGAAATTGATTTCAACAAATTTTGGATTCCCCTATGTCTTGACAAGCCGACTTCAATCTATATCGGGCCTGACTCATATAAGACTGTCGAATAGGAAAGTGCTTATGAGTAAGGGTCTATCTGCAACTAACTGTAATAAGCCTAGAGCCAATAAAAATGGAAATGGGAAACCATAAATAAGGAGAAAAAAAAATTAAAAAAAAAAACAAATTGGTGAAGTTCATTACACTCTGCCTTAGACACAAATTGAAGTGCTTATAAGAAGATATTCCACTAGTGGAATTTTATGGATATCATCGAACCAGACAATGTCATACTATAAATGGGCCGTCGAACCCGTACACCGCTACACTTTGCAGTGTTATCACAGTAGGTCCGTGCCCATGCGCTTGCCCGACTCAGGCCTGCTATTGAAAGCAGACGTTCCCCTCGAAATCTCCCATTCTGTATGAGACTCGATAATATTATCACATCAATTTCAATTCATATTTTCCAAAATCCCCTCTTTTCGCGATGCATTACTATGATATGGCAGAGACTTGGGAGTTCAGCGACGGCCCAAAACTTCTGTACACGCAGGTCATCTTCCAGGAAGGCAATAAATACTTTTCAGCTCAGCTACCTGAACAAATCGCTTGCCCAAATGACATCCCGCCTACCACCAAAATCCACCTCAAGGAGATTCCTGTCGAACACATTTGGCCTCCGCTAGAAGATGGTCTTTCGATATGCCACGATGCTGAGAAGCCAGATATTTACATCAAAAAGCCCCGGCTCACTGCCTATGATGGTTCGGAGTCTTTGAGTTTGTATCTGCTTCGGGAAGCTCGTATCTGCCAGATCCTGATGCAAAATGAACATCAGAATATTGCCCGCTATCTCGGATGTGTGGTGAAAGACGGGCGGATAACTGGAATTTGTTTCCAGAAATACGTGGAAACGCTTGCCGACAGCCTTGATGTTGGGCGCTTAGTCGACAACAAAACCTGTCTCCAGCAGGTCCGGGCGGGCATCGATCACCTCCATACTCTCAATCTAATCCACAATGACATCCACCTGGGAAATATCATGGTTGCAAACCAAGAAGCTGACACATTTGTGATCATCGATTTTGACTCATGTGCTATCAAGGGACACCCGCTCCCTGAAAAGCGAGGTCAAATGCCGGAAGGTGCCTGTACTGCAGAACTTGTAAATGACGATCTCGGGTTTAAAATGCTCCAGGAAGAACTTCATCGGGAGAAACCTAGTTCTTGAGGGCTTCTTTAGGGGATGAGCGCGTAATCAAGAGAGCAACAGTGTTATTGATGCCTTTTAACGGCTGGAAATTAGATGTCACTGAGATATCGAACTGAGTGTAAAAAAATACCTTTCACTGCCACGATGCAGCTCAGGAAGCCCTATTATTCTACATGTATTGATAATATTTATGCAGAAGTTTGGTTTTCATTTATTGCAAATAAGCATCTGGCTAAGAAGTCGAAGAGAAAGTGTGTATATTTCAGCTATGTGTTGAACATGCTGAATCCAAGAAGTATTCATTACTTCATTCTGCTATGGCCAGCTTCATGTTAATCGTGTTGAACAGCTAATCCCATGCCAAGATGGCCCCTGTACGAGATGTTAATGGCGATATGGTTAAAGTTTGGATTACTTACTATTTCTTGTGCATTGTCGACGTTGGGCAATTTGAGCTCTGACAGTCTCTGGTCTTTTGGCCTTTTTGAGTAGTTTTCTGAGTCTCTCCAGTCTGCGAATCGGTCTTGGTGACTAGTGTAGATGTAAAAGTGCACATACTTCACACTTACGTATTAACTTTTATCCCACACTTGCGATGAGTTCCTTTTGTATGGGTAGATAACTTACTTGGGAACGTATCAGTAATATAAGGAGACTTGGTAATAGATAAATTGCTGAACGTAAGAAGACGCCGGGGTGGTTTAAATCCACAGCCAGGAGAAATGTTGGACTCATGTTTTCGAGTTCATTCATAATGGGATTTTACCGGCTTATATATCTTTCAGTCTGTTGCACGGTCCCCTATGACCCTGGATTGAAGATGAGTCTCTGGCATTTGATCAATGGAAATATTTGTCGTATACGCGACGCAAAGTGAGACCTCAATGTGCATGCATGAACAATCATTATCAGAGCCTAATCACAAGCACGGCCGATGATCATGCAGCTAATGCAAGCCCTGGCGCTACAATTAAAATCCCAATTAAATAATCATTTAGGAGGGGATTACCTCTGACAATCGTGTTTGAAAACGACCAAGAGTGAGCATATTGCTAGCTAGCATGATTTGGGGTCAGGTGCCGCATTTTCCTGCCGCCGGTGACAGCCCATATACGTAGTAGCGCTGGTTTAATGTGCACGGCCTATGGACTTGGAGGCTAGACTCTTTGGTAGCCAGGGATGACGTATTATCAAGATGTATCCCAGGAGCTCTGGGAACATCCCTGAGACGCATAAGTGGCTAGTATGGGCCAATGACAGACCCAAATAATTAGAATATTGGCCTGCGCATCCTCTCTGCCCCCTCTGTCTTCTCTGCCCCCTCTGTCTTCTCTGCCCCCTCTGTCTTCTCTGCCCCCTCTGTCTTCTCTGCCCCCTCTGTCTTCTCTGCCCCCTCTGTCTTCTCTGCCCCCTCTGTCTTCTCTGCCCCCTCTGTCTTCTCTGCCCCCTCTGTCTTCTCTGCCCCCTCTGTTTCCTCTGTCCCCTGAGAAATGTCTTGTCAGGATTCCCAACGGAATCCGTATGTTTCCAGACTCTCGCGATGAACCCACAAGTGCGCGGTCATATTGTCTCTTTGACAGATGATATTTCCACACACAGGGCATTTGAATGAGCGCGGTGAGATATGCTGCGTTTTCATATGACGATTGAAACTACTCCCGTAGGAGAACAAAGTGTTGCAGTCTTCCTAGTTACATCGGTACGTGCGGTGAGAATTTCCAGAATGACAAGGATGATCACGTCAGTTTGGGAAATGCTAGCTTCTGGAGGAACAACTTACTGGTGTGTCGGTTTCATTGTTCGGCCAGCGCTATAGATTCCATGTCCACTGATACACAGTTGGGGGATTTCTTGCATAGAGAGAGCGGACGGTCCATTCGGTGTTACTCTATTTTCGGGGTGAGAAGCGGCAACGAAAGGACACGTCGTGTGCTGCTCAGCTACTTGGAACCTGGAGCGAGAATCAGGGTTCAACACTGAAATAAGGCTCATCGGATCAGTTAATCTGTTGGAAGACATATCTCTCTGCCGAAAATGTATAAGAGGAAGAGAAGAATGAGTGACAACTTGAGCAATTACTGAACTTATATAAGGGCATTTGTAACGTTGGTACAAATTGGACTACATAGCAACACTACATAGTTTTGTCATTTGCCAATGAGTAAAACCTATTGCAAACGCAAGACCGCTGTTGCCGCTGCTGTTATCGCTAAGACATCATTCTGACAAAGCAAAAATAAGTCCTAGGAACGAAGCTAAGTAGAAGGAAGAAGATATTGATGGCCAATACAGGATTTTGAGGGCTGCGATACTTTCATGCGTATTCGCAAAACGAACAGTGCTTGGATTTGAGCGAGATGTACCTGGTATGCTATTGGTCCGACAGCGGTGCAGAGCGAGTTGATTGGATGACCTGGACCGCCCCACAAGGCATTGTGAGATCCTCTATTGAAAGGATCTTTCACAAAACAAGGGGTGCCGATCATGACCGTTATGGAAAAGCAAATACATGTACCTATGATTCTAGACCGATACCTACACGACACGGACTCTCAGCGTTAATAAAAAAGACCTCTCCAGCGATGCTCCACATGGTCCGACCGGGATTCAACCGCCGAAGGATTGGCCTGTTAGTGGATTCACGGATGACGAACTTAGTACTTTGTCCATTTTGCACGTGCAAGGGTTGATGCAAGCGATGCACTTGTTGGCGCGCCCAAGTCAGCTGCAAGTTGATATATAACAACCAATTCCCTATTTTTGACGACAAGGTTTCGAATCCTATCTTCATTAGAATGGCTGTCAATCCGGAGCATGTGGGCTCAATTGCCGACGTTAAGCCTCAGTATGAAGCTGAAACTGGTCAAGGTACGCTTGGCCATTGAATCCAGCAATGTGTTCCACGAAACATCCAAACATTGCAGCTAATCATGAATACACTTAGAGCTTGCCCATTCGGCTTCCTTTTGGAGCACTTCGACAGAAGTCGACCCCTCAGCTATCGGTGCACAGGATGAAGATTGGGATGCGGTTTGGGGCACACAGCCTCTGAATTGCATATGGAGGCAACATGAAGCCACAGGATTGTTCGTGGGACATGATAGCGTTTCTTTCAATCGGCTTTACATGTTGGCTTTCTTGAGAAAGACCTCCCACGCACAAAAATACCTTCAACCTCTCTGTGAGAGCTGGACATTTGATCCAGCAGATATTAAAAAGGGCTTGTACACGTCAGTGGCGAGAAGCTTGGAAGGGCAAAGCTCAAAAAGAATCAAGTTTCTCGCTTTCGATGCTTTGACACAGCAAGCGCTGGGTATCACCGTGCCAGAGATTTTGGATTTCCGTTTGACGTACCAATGGCTCAATGCAGGAATCTACTACTACTTCATTAAGCGACCCCGCCATGCTCAGCACTTGGTCAAAATCAAAGAAGTATGCTCTCCAAAGATACCTCATTCCCCGGTACCCAAAAAGAGACTAATGCGTGGTAGGAGCTGGACATCTTGGATGCTGATCCTTTCATATGCGCTGTGATCCAGAACGCATATGAATGTGTTGTTGCAGGGCAACTAAAAGATGCAGATCTGGATTTGCCGCTTCGCTTCTTCATCACCGAGCCCCTGAAAGGGCTATTCCAAAAACATGAGTCCACTGGGGTCATCCTGCAACAATTGAAGTTGCTGAAGTCTCGTTTTGCCAGCTTCTGTGACAATGCCCTCAGAAATTGGAATGAACCGTTCGACACCAATACAGAATTTTTCGACGAATTTCGATCTCTAGGGCCTGTAGCCTTTGCGGTGTCTTTGTCTAGGACGGTTCATGCTTCCTATCTGAAGCTCAATATTAATTCATTCAAAGGAGAACGTCAAGCATTACAGAACCTGAACGATATCAGCAACCGTTTATGTTGCTCAGTGAAGGAATGTTCAGACGCCGGAGTCATAAGTGCCTCAGAATTACTTCAACTTTCCCAGGTAAGTCGGTGAAAGTTCGCTCCTGGAATCATCACTCTAAAATATTACTGCAGAAGCTCTGTTGTCTTCGTAATTTCTTTTCTATGAGAGCCGTTCGCGACGGCATGCAATTGAGCGGCTCTTTAGAAGAGACTGTGCAACAAGTTGATAGCCTTGTCAACATACAGCGAGAGCTCAATGGCTCGACTCCTGCGTTATATTCAGTCTTTCAAGCGGGGAAGCAAGCAGCGCAAGGGAACTTGTCACTTGCTGAAACACTCATTAAGATGTGTTCGTCCTACTCGGTCGAAAGCTCTACATCGGCGGGCAACAAAGCTCCATCTCTCAAACTCATGCAGCCTATTGATGATGAAAAGCCATCGAAGCGGAAGAAGAAAGAGCATATCCGAGCCCATTTTGTCACGTTGTTTGGGACTGCACCTGCAAGCGGAGATATATATTCAGAGCAACAGCCCTCAAGGAACAACCAGATGAAGTACAGCCCCACGGCCCTAGCAAGCACTGTTGGGGAGAATGAATGTCTACATTCCCCTCGAGGTACCAGATTGCAAGTATGGACATGGCTCTTGAGGGCTCGATCTTTCTGTGTGGGGTAATGATTAGTTTGTTGGACACTGAGGCGGTATCATGTTGGCGGAAATCTTCGAAAAATGGGCATGCTCTATACTATTGCGAACTTCCCTGCTTTGTAGCTTTTGATATTCCTTTCATTCTATTCAAGGCACTGATTCTATTTATATTGTGCTGGTTTACACAGCTTTTGAGACATCAGAGACGTAGACACCTCACATGAGGAAGAAATTGACCTAATTCTCAGTAGACATAGAGTTTGGGAGCTAGTCGTATCTAAGATCTAATGTCCTGCTCCTGAATTCAAAAGAAGTAGACTATGAATAAGGATGAATAAAAGCTGGATCTATTAATTTTCACCGGATTTAGATTACAGGGGAAAGTTCAACCCTGGCTTGGAAAGTGGAGCAGGCATGCCCAAAAAGAGCAAGCCTAAAGGCCTGTGGCAACTGCTTCTGTAGCCGCGGGAGCAGC